TTTACGATTGGTGTGTTTCCCAAAGCCCCGGGTTGGATGAGCAGCGAGGAGCCTCTGAAAGATCCATCCTGTTTGACCGAACGTAGTGACACATCACAGGATAAGAGGATGAGGAGGGGAGGGACTTGGCTGCATCCACAGACCGGATGTCAGAATAAAAGTCTCTTAGTTGGGAGCTGGAGAGCAGCGGGGTTGCCATGCTGGAAAAATGTGACCTTGTATGCCTGTGCGACATACACACACACATAAACACCTCCATCTCTCACTTCGTTCTGTCCCTCGGGAACACACACGCACACTGCACGCCCTCCCTCAGCCTCACATGCACATCTTCACATGGCCTTGTGCACCCTCCCATTAAACATGTGGTTTCACTCTCCACATCAACACACACACATACACACCAGCATTTACCAAACAGCAAAACTGACTCTTGGATCTTTCCACACATCCTCCATTAAAATGTATCAAAAGCAGGTGGGAAACAACATTTGTGAGCCAACAAACTTTCTTACAACGTGAGGTGACGTCTTTAAAAAAAAGTCCAAACTTCAACGATTATATAATGCTGCAAAGGCAGCAAAGAAAAGTAGCAAATCATCAGATATAAGAAGCTAAAGTCACAGAATTGTATCATTTTTGCTTGAAAACGTTTTCAGGTGATCCACTAATCACTGATTGCTAAATCAATCGTTTATTTAATGTTTTCATGGTGTTAAAATATCCATAACAGGGAAAAAACTAACCAAACATAGGTTTACAGTATAATGTGCTTTTCAGAATATGACTTAAGTTGTGGCAGAAAACAGTTACAAATCCTGTGGTTTGCAAGGTGCCAATTAATTTTCCTAAAATGTTTAAAGATCATCATTTGCTTTTTCCTTTAAATCCCCCTTTTTATCCTAAAACCAAAACCACTGATTATGTCCCTGCTGGTAAACTTACCTCTCCTCAGAGTCCACAGGTGAAGACATGTCAGATCTCTTTCTGGCTTCCTCACACACACACACACACACACACACACACACTGCCCCCCAGGACTCCCAGTGGTGTGAGGGGTGCAGGAGGTTGGTGGTACCAGGAGGAGCACAGACAGAAAAAGCCATCAACATTCTGCAGAGAGAGTCCCATTGTTGAGTCCAGAGAGGAGGAAGAGGCTTTGTAGCTGACCACTTAATGTCCATGGGACTGCTGGGGATGGAGGGATGGAGGGAGAGACAACGAATAAGGGGGGAGAGAGAGGAAGGAGGAGGAGCACCATGTCCCAGTTCACAGGCGAGAACGAACCTGTGGTCATCTCATGAGGGAGAGCAGAGAAACTGAGCCTCCACAAAAATGTAAGAGAGAAAAATACAAGTGGGAGGAGGAGGGTTGGGGGGTTTCACATACTATACTTGTGACATCACTCACTCTCTTCCTCTCTCTTTCTCTCTCTCTCAGAAGCCATCTGCAAGGCAACGTTGCGCCTCACTGGTCCAGGGACACACCTACGCCCTGACACGGCACCGTTCAGGACCATCCACGCCTGACCTCTGACCCCGACCTCCTGCTTCACCCAGGTCTTCCACGTTAACCTTTAGTCCAACCTCCACCATTTTTATCCCAGTTGCATACAACTTTGTAGTTAAGCTGTATATTCATTAGGCAACAGAACCTCCTAATGTTTATAGCTTAAACGTTTCCTAATGAAATTAAAGGAGAATGTGCATAAAACAAGTGACAGACACTTTTCACAAATGTTGCTTTGGGCCTCAGTCTCCATTTGTATTAGTGATCAAGGGTTTGAATAACCTCATTTAAGTCTACTGTTCTTACAAATTAAAAGAAATTTAAGACACTAAATCACATTTAGAGCGTCTATTGATTATGGCGAGATTTTTTTGCCATCTAATAAAACTAACATGTAGCAAATTCTGCTCCCCCACTGTGGCTCAAGGTTTGGAGTTTCTAATGAAATGTACAAGTTAGATTTCTTGGCAGTTTCATTCCATGTTGAATGTAAAGCTACAGCCAGGCCCTTTAATTTAGCCGAGTTCAAAGCCTGGAACGGGGGCACGGGCTCGCCTGGCTTTGTGCTGTTACCAGACATGAAAAGCCTACTACTGCGGCATCTCCAGTGTAAACCCCAACATCGAGTCCAAACCCCAGAGTGCCCCCCCGACCCAGAGGAAGCTCCTCATCTTTCCTTTGTTTGTGAAACACAGAGGACTTTTCTCTCTGGTCTCCTCTTGAAGTTTTCCCCCCTCTGAAATTCCCTCTTCCTGCTCTGGGAGAGGCTGTGTCTAATTCTAGATGGGGCCCCGAGGCCGGATGCACTGTGGGCTCATGGGTATGCCCTTCCTCACGCCCTCGCGCCCTCTCTCTTCCTCCTCCTCCCACTCCAGCCCCTTACTCAGACACACCCTGACAGGTCCGAGCTGGGTGGTCCAACCCACACACCAGGCACAGCATACAGTATGCGATCGATAGAGGGCTGCTCCCTGCAGACACCCCGACACACTAAACACATACAGCCTCAAGAGAAAACAGGATGTTATGCAACATGGCTATAGACGCTTGTGATCACTGACTTGAATTATGTTAATTACTTACATACTTCTGACAAATGAATACACTGAAAAAGTTCTTGATTCATTTTCTCGTGACTACTACCAGCAGTTTCAGTGCCAGATGAGGGTACTGTTATTTGGCTATTTGATGTGTTTTTAGTGCCTGGACGTTTTGACCTCTGGAGGTGCTTGATGAGAGGGTCAGTAGTGGAAAGTAACCAAGTACATTTGCTCAAGTACTGAAGTACAGTCTTGAGGTTTGTTAACTTTACCTAAGTATTTTCATTTTATGCTATTTCATACTTCATCTTCACTACATTTTAGATGCAAATATTGTACTTTTTACTCCACTACTTTTATAACTTTAGTTACTAGTTACTTTTCAGAAGCAGACTAATGCAAAAATCACAATATAATCATAAGACTTTATTGATCTTTGGTGGAAGAGTCAAACGATTCTCAACAGTACTTCAAATTATAAAATTGATCAGCTCCCCCTTTAGCAGCTGCAGCATTAAATGTGATGGACACAAAAGAACACCAGTAATTATAATCCAAAGATATATGTAACTGGTAAATGTGACTGTCTGCATACTGAGTACTTTTACTTTTAGTACTTTAAGTATGTTTTGCTGCTAATACTTTTGTACTTTTACTTAAGTAACATTTTCATTGCAAGACTTTTACTTGTAACTTGTAAGTATTTTTACACCGTGGTACTGCTACTTTTACTTTAGTAAAGGATCTAAGTACTTCTACTAACATGCGTGCAAGAACAAATGCATGCAGTAGCACTTGGTTCATTCAATGCGCACGCACACACACACACACACACACACACACACTTTTTCTTCCTTGTTCTGTCATATTTTCTCTGCCGCCATGACCTATTTCAGCATCAGCCTGGAGACACAGGTCCAGTCCAACTACACAAGCCAGCCCTGAAAAGCTGCAGGCCTCCCGCCGCTGCAGAAACACAGCATCTCCCACTTTGTCTGTGGTTCTGTTTACTTCCTATCAACATAAGTGTAAATGGACGCAGCTCACGTACTGGATATAGTGGGAGTATAATAAGAGGCTGTGAGAAATGTTCTGTGTTCAGGCCATTTACAGCAATGCTTATGGGCAAAGGCCGTCGCAATGCACATCTCTATGCAAGACTTCATAAAAACTACATATGATTTAATGAGTGTGTGTGCGTGTGTGTGAGTGAGAGAGTTCACTTTGTTGTCATGCCTCATTTTTCCATGTTTAACGTGGAGGTCGAGGAGAAACAATGCCCTCCAGCTCAGTGCAGAGGAGAAGCTCACCTTGAAGCCAATCTTGCCCTTCTTGCAGCAGAGGCAGGCCAGCATGAGGAAGACAAAGGTGAAGAGGCCCGAGAAGGAGATGGCCACTACAGCCAGGGATGATGACCAGGATAGCTCAGTCAGCGCAGTGCCATCTGCAGGACACAGAGAGCATTACCGTGTAAGCTGTGGGGTATAAGACTTGTTTGTATGAACTACATTCATGGGACCACATGCATAAACATAGAATATAAGAGAGCAGATTAGATGACAATAACCAAATGAGAATGTAATGACATTAGCACATTACATAAGTAGGTTTTTCTCATTGCATTACATCTAATGTAATATACAGTAGCTCATGAGCTGATTGTTTTCTCAGGAGATCCACAGCAATATTCCCACTCAGATATATTCATGTGTGATTTATAGCTTGGCATCATGTTTTTGCTCAAAATGAAATGCTCTGAAACATTACGGCGCTGCTGGATTCATGCAGTCGCCAGTGAACCACATTACATTTCTGCACAGTCAAGCAGGGTAAAAATGCTCAAGTTGATTTATAGCCTTCACCTGGCAGAGAGACACCAAAGACAGATCTTTTGCACTAATTGTTTTTTTAATTAACTTCATATACTGTAGAACAACGCAATGAAGAGGATTTGCAAAGAAATCACACAATCTAAATGAATTTAAACCAAATAAAAGAGATATTTTTACACAGTGAGGGTTTAGGGAAGCAGAGGATTTTAAATATTTATTTATGTTTATTTGTATTTATTGCAGTGACTCAAACACACTCGCTGCACCAGCCTCTGCTTGATGTGATAACGATTTATTCAGATATGCAAAGACTTGCATGCAGTGACTGTACAATACTGACAATTCTCATATGCATAACTGAGGCTAAAGGTTTGTCAGCACTGTTTATTTCACATCCACCGTGAATCAGACAGTGTCACATTTATTAAAGGCATTATGGTGGACTTTCCCACGATGGTTTTTAAACCATATTTAGTGCTATTTTATGACCATGGGGAGCATTTGTTGTGTTAACTTATTCACACGGATATTCTTCTGTTTTCCTTTTTCCCCATTACTCAGATTTGGTTATTTTTAAAGTTCATTTGCAGACACTAAATGATCTTCTGGACAAATACACACCAGTGAATTCAAGAGACAGCAAAGAGGGTGACATTCAGCTAAAATCATCAGCTGAAGCCAAGCTGTGGTCCCCATCAGCAGTTACTGCTTTTCAGTCAAACATCTCTGGTGAGGACTGAAGGCTGGATAATAAAACAGACACCCTGGTGCTACATGGGCCGAGGGAGATGATAAACACCTCCCACATGTTTCACTACACAACAAGACATGATGATTTATTTAAAAGTGAGATGCAGTTATAATAACGATACATTATTAATGCAGTTTATTTACACACTTTTGTTCTGCCTTATTTTTCTTCAGACTTCTGCCCCTCTGTGTCAGCGAAGCCCATTTTCAGCCTCTGATGGTCTGAATGAGCCCCACTGTGCCGCCCGCATGCTGTCCGGGCCTCCAAATAATATCGTGTTCCCAATTTTGAGCAGCGGATGATTTATTTTTCTCATTCAGCGATGGCTTCTGAAATGCAGCGGTCACCATGGAAACAGATTGGACGCACAGTCACATGGGATCGTCTTCAGCTGTAAATCTTTCGCACAGACTCATGCCAACAACAGTGTGCCACCCAGTTCTACACACACACACACACACACACACGCACATAGCGGAGCAGAGAGTCAGTTGTGCTGCCAGTTTGTGCTGATCCCCTGAAAGCTGGTGCAACTGGCTCTCGGCGAGTATCAGGCTCTTAGTATAATTGGACAGAGAGTGTAGACTGTTGTTAAGGAGGCCATCTGGCAGGATGGAGGACCAGAAGAGAATATTTTAAAAACATGCAAATTTAACAGTTAAATGCAGAATTAGCCGGCTCAGAGGACCACAGATCACTGATCTGAATTTTATTACTCAGATGGGCCAAATAAACCCATTGGTCCAGTAACAGTGTCCATAAAAAGTGCAATATGATGGCAGAGCCGCAGTGAGAGGCGGAGAAAGCCAGCTCGTTAAATCAGTCAATAACCATTTATTACTTTGAAACACTGTACAAGAAGATTCTGATTTAATTACTCTTTTTTTGTCAGGGGGCTAATTACAGAGAATAGAAACATACTCTGGCTCTGTTGTGGTTTATTTAAAGCTCCCTTGCTGACAATTCCCATCTCTCCCAGCAGCACAAGTGGGAGACTGTGACTGGGGGTGGAGCATGGGGAACAGATCGTTTAAGCCCAGCTAATACCACATGTACATTATTACTGGTGTTAATATACACAGCTGAAAACCAGATTCTATGGTGACCACACCCCTAATCAACAATCAACAGCACATCAGGAACAGCCAGCGTAACGAGTCGGAGGACACGCCGACTGCTTTAAGCGGGGCACTGTCATTCTATTCAAACAGTTAAAATCCACAAACCCCCCCATTCCCCCTCATTACTCCAGGTGTGCCGAAACAGGCCACTGAGAAGAAAGTGATTGTAGGAAGAGGGGAGAAATGTGGAGAAGAAAGAAAGAACTTGTATCTAATCTTATGCCTGAGCTCTTCCCTGTGGAGCACCCAGAGCAATGGTGTAAAACAAAAGCTTAGTTCAGCAGTTAGTAAGCTGCTGGCGAGTGGAGGGGAGAAGAGGAGGAGAGGGAAAGATCAGTGAAATGTACTGGTGCTATCCTGTGATGCTGCTGTGCAGATCCTTGCCCGCCACAACATTAACACTACAGCACAACTTGTTTGCAACTAGCTGACTCGACACAAAAATACCTTGTTCCCAAACAGTGTAAACACAATGACACTGACTGTTAATCTTAGTGATTTAAAGAGAATTCTTCTCAGTAATGAGCCAAGTTCCAAAGAGACAAATGTCTCCTGGTAAAGGCTGTTTAGTTCACAGCTGCATTTTCTCTCCTTTTACTACTTGATTTGATTTGATTTGATTTATTTATTCTTTCAAACATGTAACAACAGTCAGTATGTAATCACACATAATTCCAGACATGTCCACAAAAATATTTTCAATTTACTTATACCTAGTACATGCTTGAACGGAGTAGGAAGAAGTTAGACTTATCTAGTCCTACCCCCTAACATCATCTTATCATCATTGGTTTGCAAGCAGTATTACTACATGAATACATATTCACTTGATGCTAGCAGTGTGAGGACTGTACAGCTCTCAGCTACTGAGAGGCGGTAGCCATTTTTAGCCTCCCGAGGCAGAGAACTGAAGCACATCCTGATGACTAAATGATGAAAAGGGAGTGAGCGTGAGGACATGAGAGGAGAGAAGAGAGGATCTCAGAAAGAAGAAGTGGCTGAGGAGCTGTGTACTCTGCAGCCTGAGCCCCAGGAGGAGCCCCAGCTGAAGAGCAGCAGTTCCAGGTCTGCCTGGGACCAGAAGGAGCCAGAGTGATAGACTCCATCTTTTCTTACCTCACATGTGGGTTCTGCCTGTATGGATATAGATCTGGCTGGAATATCACTCAGAATATTTTTGCAGCTTGATGAGCTATCTGTGAACAGTGACTGCAGCTTCATCCTGGTTTTCACATTTTGATACTGACACACCGTCAGAGCCTCTGAGCTCTCTGCTGTCAGATACTAATCGCTCTGCAAGTTGACTTTAGCGTTAGTGACGGCATCTGGATTCATGTGGAGGCTTCAACAGTCTGACATTTTGGCAAATACGCTTCATCGTGTTCTTGCATTCTTAGATGAGAAGTTTGATACTGTACGAAGGTCACATCTAAGCTGAAGATGAAGGTATGAGGTTACTGTGCCCAGCCCAGAAGTCGTTCCACACATGCAGTACCACCCTGTAAAATATAGACAGAGCCAGACTGTTTCCCACAGCTTCTAGTTTTTTTGCTAAGCTAAGCTAATTGTCTTCTGGTTCTACTTTCATATTTAGTATACAGACATTAGGGTGGTATGAATCTTCTCATCCAATTCTCAACAACAAAGCCAAAAAGCATCTTTCAAAAAAGCCGAACCAAGAGAGGCCACTGCGATGTGCTAGGAGCCTTCATGACTTTGGACCTGATCGAAAGTCTTGCAGAAACCCACCCCCCTTTCTGAATAAAAAAAGAGAGACCTGACCCAGGAACGGTAATAACCAGCCTGAAACTGGTCAAACTGGTCGTGGACCCACAAAGACCCAGACACAGAGAGAGCACCAGCAGTGGCAGCAAGATGCTCCACCCATTAATGAGCAGTGGCAGTTTAAACGGTTAGAAATACATATCCTGAGTCCACACACCCTGCGTCCACCTAGGTCCACTCAGGTAACACACAGACACAGTAGTGGAATTGCTTGCTAGTGGAAATGCTAGCACAACCAGTTCTATCACTGACAGGCTGAAAGTCTACATTTTCTTTCCTATATGGCAAAGCAAACAACTACACGGTGTGGAGTTGGCTCCAGTGGTACGGTACTGGCATGAGTCACTGTACTGGTGTAAGTGGACCTGTCAGACAGACTGAAGTGTGGCTGGCATATTAGATGTTTAGATCATACCTGAGAGACAGAGAAGAGTCTGTGACATCACCTGCAGCTGCTACTGTATGTGCACAAAACTGCTGCTCTACCAACAGATGTTTCCTGCTGTGCTGGCTTGTGTTACTGCTTCACAGTGAGTCAGTCCAGACCTCATGCAGCCATCGGCAATCAGTGTGTCACGACCTGTCAACCTGCTCCATTCAGGTAAGCTGATGAGCTATAAGACAGCGAGTGATGCCCAGTTTTATGCAGCAGCTGGGGCCTTGAACGGCTACACTTCCCTGTCGAGTAGAGCCCAGGCCAGGAGAGTTAGAGCGCCGCCCTGCTGTCTGCCACTCATGTCCAGTTAAGGGACTCAGTAGTGTATTTAGGGCACTGCTGCCACCCTTCACCCATCGTCAGCCCTGGTTACTGTCCTTGTTACAGCTACATGATGTAAGAGTCAGGGGAGGGAAAGTGAAAAACCTGGAGAGCTGGAAACCTGCCAGCAGACACTTTACACAGTGATCCCAATTAAGGCTGAAAGAAGCAAAGAGACAAAAGGTCAGAAGAGATTCT